CTAGTCTGTTCTTGTGACTGGAGCTGCCCACCCCCCTCGATAAACGTGCCCCTGCACCCAGACTCCCCGCGGTGCCAAGCTGCATGTGGGGTGCAGAGGAGCACCCTGCCCGCACCTGTGGGTGGCCCTCTCAAGCCCCGCCGTGGGCCCGTCACCTGCTGGGAGCTGGGCACCCGGCGTCGGGGATGTGCCCTCAGCCGGCAGTGAGTGAGGCACTGCCCCCCCCAGCCCAGACTGCGCTGGGGGTGTCCAGGCCCCGCCCTGGGCCAGCCAGCTAGTGAGACCAAGGGCCCGCGAGCGGCGTGCGGAGGGTGACGCGCGAGCCCTGCGAGCGGGCCACGGTCACGGCAGGAGCCCGGGTGCTGTGCCAGGACGCAGCAGGTGTTGGGTGACTGTGCCCAGAAGCAGCAGGTGGCACCTGCTTCTGCCAGAGACGCCCCGAGAGCACAGGCCGCGCCCACAGCTGCGGAGGTGGAGCGGCCGCCCTGAGCCCTGCGCCCCTTGCCCAGCGCCCAGCCCCACCCTCTCCGGGAATTCCGCACGCCCCTGTCTGAGGGGTCCCCCCGGCCGGAGACTCCACCCCCAGCACCACGCTCTGGCAGGCCCCTGGGCCCCGGACCGTGGCTGGCTGCGGCCTTGGCTGGAGGTGCGCTGGGCACACTGGGCTGCTTGCCCGGTGCATCTGCCAGGGGGCAGTGCCAACGAAGTCTCCCGGGAGAGCCAGCCTCCTACTGAGGCCAGCTTCTTGCACAACACGTGGGGGTTCCCACCTGTTCCTAGGCTCTGGAGGCACCCAGGCTGGCCACTTCAGCAGCGAGGCCTTGAGGCAGAGTGGGGTGGGGCAGGGGCAGCCCCCCCGCCCCATCGTCCGGAGCCCTCCACAGTACAAGGCATGAGAAGGTAGAGCGCCCCAAGACACCTTGGTGCAGAATCACACCCCTCGTCTTGGGGTCTCCAGTCACCCGCAGAGTCCAGGTTGCCAGGTGTGGCAGGGCCTCTGGGGGCCCCCCTAAAGTGCTGTGCAGGGAAGGGTGGGGGCCCGGCTGGGAGCCGCGGAGCACACAGAAGTACAGGACGCCCAGATAATGGCAGATACTTTGTTTAGCAGCGGGGTGTCCCACACAACAGCCCTCCGTCTGGCCTCCAGCTCGGGGCTGGTGGGGACCCAGAGCCGGGGTAAGGGGGGGCGGGCCGAGCTCAGGAGGCCTCCAGGCGGCGCGCGGCCCCGCAGGCAGAGCCCCGGGTCTGCTCTGCCCGCAGCCGGCGC